CCATTCCCTAGTGATGGTGAGCCCGGATGGATTGCCCATCAGGTGGATGTAAGAGGTTATCTCTACACTTTTGTCTACAGAGAGCATTCTCTCTTTACCTTCTGACTTCCTAGAATGATTATTTGGGACTCAAATCTTTAAGTCCCTATAAATTCTTCCAGACTGCCGCCATGCCCATGCGTTGACCAAACATGATAACCCTAGCTTTGGGAAATAAACGGTAGACTTGGTTTGTAAAGAAGTCTGGGACATAAAATAAGTCATTTTGCTTTAGCTTCAGGTGATTTCTCTTTCAAAATGGTGTTAATAACATCAACAATAGTAACCATAACTTAAGCTTTTCAAATCCTTATTCTGTACCAAGGACTGCCATCAGTACTTCATACCTATTGTCTATTTCTGTCGTTACAACAACCCAACGGGCTCTTTTTTGATGCCACTTCCCTTATGCACACTGGTAAGTAGGAAATGGCATTGGTATAATGAGGAAATGGTATTGATTCATAAGTTATTTTACAGTATACTTATGTTTTGAAATATTCTGGAAAAGCTCCCTTCATAGTTAAAAGGAAAGACTTAGCTATGTAAGAAGATCTTAAGAAAACTGAAAATCTACTGCAGTCCCCTTACTTAGTGCACGTAGAGCCCCTATTAGTATCTACAACTGATAGACAATCCATCTGGAAAAGCTGTGGGTACAGGTGAAGCAATTGTAGAGTTATTTCTCTGACCTAAAATAATAAATTAATGAAGGTAGCTAAATACTGGATCAAGTTTTTAATTTTGATGGAAAAAAAGGTCTTTATTCGGAAGTAAATCACCCTCAATACCTACTCTTTTTTTTAAGATTTAGTTATTTATTTTGGAGAGAGAGAGAGAGAGCACGAGCAAGCCTGAACAAGTAGGCAGGAGGGGCAGAGGGAGACAGAGACAGAGAATCCTCAAGCGGACTCTTCACTGAGCTGAGCAAGGAGCTGCACGTGGGGCTTGATCTCACGACCCTGAGATCATGACATAAGCTGAAATCAAGAGTCAGACACTTAACTGATTGAGCCACCCAGGTGCCCATAAATACCTACTCTTTGAAGGAAGAAGCACAAACCCCAATGTTGAACCCCATTGACTATGATGCTTGGTGGAAATACCATTAAATATTTAACTTTCTAGTATTTTTATTTATTTTTTACCATTTTAGTTTTGGTTAATGCTCTGGATACAAAAACACATGTTTTTTTTTCAGGTACATACATATAGTGTTACAGAAATATTTGTTCTGCTTTGGCCCTGATTTTGTAGCAAAGAGAAATTGCAGGTGAGTGGGGTTGAGTAGTCTACCCACATTCACATGGTTGGTAAGTGGTGGATCCAGGATTGGATTCTGTCAGTTCCAGGGCAAGCCCTCTCTTAACTTCTATGACATGAGTATTGAACTACGTTTAATTCCTTTTTCCTGATTACAACCATTTTTTATTATGACAGAAGGAAATTTTCACATAAGAGGAATCCCGTCTTGGGTACTGTCTTCTGCAAGACACGTGTCTTTTGTATTAACACCTGTTGATTAATTGATCCCTTTATTTTCATGAAATATGTCTCTTCACCTCTAAGAATAGTCTTTGTTCTGGTTTACTCTCTGATAATAACAGAGCCGTCCAGCTTTCTTATTACTGTTGCATTGTGTAGCCTATCCTTTCATTTTTCATGTATCTGTGTCTTTGTATTTAAAATGGAGTCGGGGGGGCACCTGGGTGGCTCAGTTGGTTAAGCAACTGCCTTCGGCTCAGGTCATGATTCTGGAGTCCCGGGATCGAGTCCCACATCGGGCTCCCTGGCTCAGCGGTGGGTCTGCTTCTCCCTCTGACCCTTCCCCTCTCATGCTCTCTGTCTCCCATTCTCCCTCTCAGATAAATAAATAAATAAATAAATAAATAAATAAATAAATAAATAAATAAATAAAATGGAGTCAGGGGTGGAAATGGATTTTCAACATCACATGGAGGAGGTGAAACAAGGTTTTACTGGAAAAGGAGGAAGCTTGCAAAACAAGGGAGGAGCCAAAGCACTGTGCTCTCTCCAGATGCCCAGCATCATCTCAGGACACAGGCTGCCCAGGCTGGAAACACTGGACCCATGAGAAGTACAGTCCCCACTGCTGGCTGGCAGATGGACCCTCACTTGGCCTCAGCTGGGTGTCACCTGTCCTTCTGGAAGAAGGTGGAAGGCGGGGCTCTCCAGGGAAGCCAGAGTGAACATCTCCTCCTTCTCCTCCTCCTTCTTCTTCTTTTAAAAAAATAGTGCTCTTTGCATCATGTCTCCCTCAACTGTGCTCTGTTCTTTCTCTCTTCAAAATTTTGGTCAAAGTAACATGGCTTATGAAAGTATAGAGAGATTTTTTTTTTTAAAGATTTTTATTTATTTGAGAGAGAGACAGAGATAGTGAGAGAGAGAGCACTAGCGGGGTGGGGAGGGAGAAGCAGGCTTCCCGCTGAGCAGGGAGCCCGATGCAGGGCTTGATCCCAGGACCCCGGGATCACAACCTGAGCCAAAGGCAGATGCTTAACAACTGAGCCACCCAAGCGCCCCGAAAGTATGGAGAGATTTGAGCAACTTGGAGGTGTATTCTGGTGAAAGAAAAACAAAGCTCTTCGTTTTTTTGGTGCACTAGCCCTGGAAACCATTCTTGCTGAGTTACGGTCATGGAAGAACACAGGGCTGAGGACGGAGCCAGAAAACATAGTTGGATCTTCTCCAGGAAAATTAAACATCATTAAACAAAGTATAAGTCCAGATATACTGTCTTAGTTTTACTGCGCTAATTGTCATTAAGATAACGATGGCAAGTTCTCTGGTTATGATCCATTGGGACCCCCGGGGGGGGGGGTCCCTGCCCCTCCCTCCGCATGTCTCAGGACGCCTGTGGCTCCTGGTATAAGGCAGGGCTGAGTGGAGGTATGAGCGCTGCCAGCCGACCCACTGCTGTACATTTCTGTATCTTTTTCTTCATCAGTAAATAGAACCTCATTTAATTTCCTAATTACATATTGACTTACAAAATAATTTTTCAAACATTTTAGTGGTGTGATGTAATTGTAAACAAGTGTGTACTCGAGCCTTGAACATATTCCCAGGTCAGAAAATACCACCATTGTCTGAATGTACTTTTGGATATATTATCTGTAGGGAATCTAGTTGCCATTTCTATGAAAAATAGAAGGATCAGTTTCACTCTGTATTTACAGGCATGTGTACCAATATGTGAATAAAGTAGGAGATAATCTGCCATTTAGAAATGTGTGTGTGTGAGAGAGTATGTGTTTAAACATTATTCAGATTTATTGCTACGAAAGGGTGGTTCCTTTCAACATTCGCCAGGCAGATAAAGCTCATTGATAATACTATTAGAAACAAAAATAGTATAGCTTTTATTATTATTAATTACTATTTGCTGAGAAAATCTTCCAAAGAGACCCCCCCTTTTTATTTGTGACGATGCAAAGATATAACATATAGGCCAATTCCATGCCTTAAGAAAATGCAGCAGAGACTGGGTGATAGACACTGGGGAGGGTATGTGCTCTGGTAAGCGCTGTGAATTGTGCAGGACTGTTGAATCTCAGATCTGTACCTCTGAGACAAATAATGCAAGATATGTTAAGAAAAAAAAAAAGAAGAAAGGTAGCGGGAGGGGAGGAATGAAGCGGGGGAAATCGGAGGGGTGGACGAACCATGAGAGAAGATGGACTCTGAAAAACAAACTGAGGGTTCTAGAGGGGAGGGGGGTGGGAGGATGGGTTGGCCTGGTGGTGGGTATTGAGGAGGGCACGTTCTGCATGGAGCACTGGGTGTTGTGCACGAACAATGAATCATGGAAGACTTCATCTAGAACTAGTGATGTAATGTATGGGGATTAACATAAGAATAAAAAAAAAAAAGAAAATGCAGCAGATACGTTTTGCATTGTTATTCAAGCTAGATTTATATTTATGGATTATCTATATATTCTTGTATGTTATCCTAAGGCAATGAGTTCTCTAGATATATGCCTTTATTCTAATGTCTTTAGGAGGGTACATTTTTATTTGCATAGCCCCATCTCTTCTCGATGCCATAATTTTAATAAAATGGATTGGCTGAAAATGATTGCCCTAAGCTATAGTGCATTATTGTTTGGCAGAAGGACTGTTGTTGTATGGGGGGAAAAATGGGATTTGAATCGCATCAGTTCTGTTTGCATCCAACTTGCAAAATGCATGGAATTTTTAACAAAATAGGAAAGATTAGAGATGTGCTGTCTTTTCAACTCACTCAACAAATGTCTACAATTTAGCCTGCTACAAAGATAGTAAGAAAGCAAGCACCGAAATGTTCCATTGGAATAGTGTGTTGTTCTGGTCAAGTACCCCAGACGCGTCTGCAAGAAGAATGAAGTCTGTCTTGTGTCTGCACACTAGTTTTGTCTTTCACATTAAGATTTATGTTTTATGGATTTGCTCCAAGATAAAAAAGAAAGAAGCAGTTCTCACCATGGAAGACCTTGCTACTTCTTTATCTCTTCCTTTTCTTCTTTTCTCTTATTTTCAGGCTATCTCTTTTCATATCAGAAGTCTTACTGAGGGAACTGAAATATCATTCTCTGTGTCTCAGGCATTTCCTTTTGTTCGGGGTGAAACCCAGTGATCACACCTGTGAGGAGTGATGGACAGGGAGGGGAACAGATTGAAGGTGTCAAAAGGGAAACAAGAAATAGATGATGAAACTCACCGAGTGGTTGAATCTCTCCCCGCCACCCTCATCTCCCAAAAATACCATTTATAAATAGTGGAATAAAGGTTATTCTTGCCTTTTGGAGACAGGACATTTTCTATCTCATTCCAGATATAACACTGAATATTTTCTGGTTGAAAACGGATTTGCCAGTCAGCTGGGTTTTGAGCATACGATCTTGCTCAAGAATCCGTACGAGTAGCATATGTTTTCAAATAACTGTCTTTGGCCCACAGGTACGATTCTGGTGGATAACATGCTGATCAAAGGGACTGCTAGAGGACCAGACCCCACCATCGAACTTTCCTTAAAGGACAACGTGGATTACTGGGTGTTGCTGGACCCTGTTCAGCAAATGCTCTTCCTGAACAGCACGGGCAGAGTTCTGGATAGAGACGTTAGTGACTCTTTTTTCCTTTGTCCCCGTGTCACAACCTATTTGGTATAAGTAGCTGCATGTGTTTGCTGATAGCGTATCAAACTTTCTCTGTAGAATTTGACATGATTTTCTGTGCTTATCAACAAAAAAAATTTTTTTTTTAACTCCCGGAAGGAAGAATAAGGAGGGAAGGGGCCGTCTGTGTCTGAGAGAGCCATTGTATTTTCCCCTGACATCCAGGAACAAGGTGAGGGTAGAGTGCCCCGACCAGGGGATGGTGGGTCTGGAAGAGTAGGAGAAGCAGGGCGAGGGTCTGGGAGTGCAGCTTGGGTGACTCGAGGACACAGTGTGTTGGGCTGAGCACCGAAGGTGCTCTCACAAGGAGCAAGCATGGGGTGAGGGATGAGTGTGTGGCGGTGTGCTTCTTGGGCTGGAAAGACATCAAGAGAAGGAGAAGGTGAGTTTCCTGGCACTTCGCCAGTCCCGCGGTGGCACATGACCTAGGTATTCTGTTTTGAAGAATAGCTAAATGACCAAAGTTGTTGAATGTCTCACTTCTGAAGAAGTTGAAAGACTTGAGTAGATTTATGTGGTTTTCCAACGTCACTCTGTTGTTACTTCTTTGCATTCCAGCCTTGAGTACAGAGAAGCCTCTGAGAGTGTGTGTGTGTGTGTGTGCGTGCGTGTGTGTGCATGTGTGTGTGTGCATGTGTGAGTGTGTGTGTGTGCATGTGTGAGTGTGTGTGGCGGGGGGGGGGTGTTATAACAGCAATTGTACAGGACCTTGGGAGTACATCCCAACATGCCTACTTCCAAATTTCCAGGTTATGAAATCCAAATGTCAGTCATTCAGCTCGGTGAACCTGAGTCTCTCAGATTTATGACCCACTTTACATTGTGGTGTGGGGTGGAGGACCCCTCATTCATTTCACATCTAAAATTCAGAGTCTCTCAGAGCTTTGTGGTGAGGCGGGTGGGGCACAGGACTCTCCCACCGGGATGGGCTGTCTTTGTCCTCTTGGGGGGCTGCAGTGCTGCTGATGGAGCTGTGGTTGCGGATGGGGACAGTGGGCAGGGTGGAGAGGAGGAGTGGGACTGTCAGGGTCCACGTAGGGGAAGAAGTCCGCCTCGATGCTGCCCCACCGCCCCCCACTCACTGTGTCCTTCCATCACAGCACATTCTTTCTACCCCACACTTCACAGTTCGGACTGGGCGCCTAGAAGGTATAAAAGGGAAAAAGGACAGTTGTTATCTTGTCTGGGCTTAATTTATCTTCTAAGTCTTCAGTTTTGTGAGAGCAGTCCGGATAACGGGCCAGACTGGAATGCTGCAAGAACGCCCCCAGCTGCATACCTACGGGCATCCTGTACTGGCCGTAATTAGGGACATTCAGATCCAAGTCCCATGCATTTTATAATGCAACCTGCTAGCAGAATTAGAGAATATTTCTCTCTTTTAGACCAATGTTATTTTATATCGTTTCCTTTTATTTTATTTTTTTTTAAAGATTTTATTTATTTATTTGAGACAGAGAGAATGAGAGACAGAGAGCATGAGAGGGAGGAAGGTCAGAGGGAGAAGCAGACTCCCTGCCGAGCAGGGAGCCCGATGCGGGACTCGATCCCGGGACTCCAGGATCATGACCCGAGCCGAAGGCAGTCGCTTAACCAACTGAGCCACCCAGGCGCCCTCCTTTTCTTAACTTAATAGCTAATTATAATAATTTACTGTTTTGCTGGAAAATCATTGTCTTTTGAAAACATTTTTGTTTCATTTCATATTAAAAGCACAAGTTCTTGGTCTGAATTATGAGGAGAAAGCAATGATATCCTTCAGTATAAACTGTGTTCTGTGTCTCCAACCTACAGCATTATTTTAACTACTTACCAAAAATTATCTTTACTTTGAAAGATAAGTATCTGCTTCCCTCGTATTATTTTTTTTTAATTTTTGATAAGGGCAGCATTTATCGGACATAAGCAAAACTGAAACAGTACCATGGGAATACACTTAACATGGTTTGACTTGAAGGTAATAACTACAAACAATATGCATAAGTATCAGTTAAAGAATCACCTGGGCTGTTTTTTTTTTTTTAACACAATAATCAAAACTAATTTCCTTCTACTTAAAATACTCTTTTCAATTAGGAATGCTATGGTCAAGTTAAACTTACCAAGATATTTTGTAAATTAAACTGTTGTCAGTGGGCACCTACCTGAATTATCTAAAGATGCTGTAGACAAGGACATCTAAAGGATATTAATTGTGAAGTGAATATTGTAGAGGAAAATTTATAAATAAAAAGCCAAACACAGGCTCACATATGTGCAGGATATTGAGTTGGCAAACACAGTCATTGAGATCACCGGAAGACAGTACTAAAGAGATGATGAGAGTTCATATGAGCTCAAGGCAAGACTCAACTAGACACAGAATGCACCTCAAATATAGTAGTTTTCAGAGTTTTCTGATTACAGATGCTTTGCAGAATCATTGGATTTTAGAGGTGGAAGGAATCTTAAAGTTTTGCTAATTATTTTTTTTTCATATATCTACTGTGTGATACATTTAGACATAGCCAGTCTAACATTTAGCACTTGTCTATGGGGAAATGAGAACAGTAAAGCAATGAGGGTGATTTTTTATCTGTCTCCATAGCTAAGTGTACTCATCCTATTCTGATATGATGCCCTTTTTGCATGTTTTTAATTTTATGCAGTCTTGTAGATGTTAAATGTCTTTTGCTTTATAATCTTTTAAAAAAAGTCTTTCTTAAAGACATAAAAGGTTATCTATCTTCTGTTAGCCTTCCATGATTTTTGTTTGCTTGTTGTTTTGTTGTATATCATTGTTGTATATTTTGCTAGCCTGCTGCTATCATGTACTCTGTTTAGGTGAAGAACGTCTAAGTCCACTCAGCTAATTAACTAAGAAGCCATGCTGCTGAATATTTGGGTTTTGGTGTCAGGGAATTCCTCCTGGATAAATGTGTGAGCTGGATTTAAGCAAAGAGTTGCAAGTCTAAGTATAAACATAGTAAAAGGAGTAGCGTAGAAGAAGTCAGAAGCGTAAGAAGAATAAAAGTAACAGTGCATGGTGTGGACTTGCTAGCCGGCAAAGGGGGCCATCAAGCTAGAGTGACAATAAAAGTGGAAAAAATAGTTTGATGTCAAGAAACTGCCAAATCTCTATAACATATCAGGAATGAATTGCATCATTAAGAAATACATACTCAGAGGCTCACCTAATTGCTCTTTACCAGTACTAAATTTCCACAAATCAAGGAAATAATGATACTAGGCTGAAATCCGCTCTTTGATGGATGGATTTGTTGGTCAGTCTTCATTTTTGGGAGGGGGGAGCACTTGCTCAGGATTCTGATCAAATCAATGGACTCATTTCCCAAGAAAAAGTTTATTTGCTCATGAATAAATTAGGTGCCTTCAAATTCAAGAATTTGACTAACTACGAAGGTTACATAGACCCCAGGTTACAGATCTTGCCTTGGATAAAATATCGTCTTACTTTTCTTACTCCCAAATTGTTAGAATCTTGCATCTCAAAATCAGGAATTGTAAAGGGAACCAAGAGAAGGAATGATTATTTACTGCGTATGTACTCTTATATCCCGTCTGACTGGAGTAACTTGCTGTAGTCTTAATGTTTCCCTCTCTATTTCCCTAGCTATTAGATGTCTGCCACATTTCCCTTAATAGAAAGTGATCTCCATGTGCCTCGGAAAAGATAAATCTCAATGTAACCTCCTACTTCAGTGCAGTTTACCATGTCCTACGTTAACCTTTGAATTTTTTAAATTCTTGTGAATTGCTCTCTCTGATGCCACAGTGCTTTCAGGGCTTTATTCATCAGTCTAAAGGCTTTTATTCTGAAAATTCTTAACCCAGCGCCCATCTGTTTTATGTGAAGCATAGACTGTTCCTACTAGGAGATGAGCGTGGAAAATCAGTGTGTTTAGCCCAAATCTAATCACAACTGGAAATTTTAATTTTACTTAATTATAAAATAACATATGCTTATGGTGCACATATCAGAAAATAAAAAGCACATGTACAAACATTGCTTTTCCATCTAAAGAAAATATTTAATATTTATCCTTCTGTGTATTATTTCAAGCATATGTGTGTGTGTGTGTATACATATGTATATATAGGCATGTGTCTTTATATCATACTGTATATAATGCATTCAGCCTGCTTTTTTAAATTATTTATTTATTTGAGAGAGAGAGCATGGAGGGGCGGGGCAGAGGGAGAGGGAGAGAGAGCATCTCAAGCAGACTCCCTGATGAGTGCGGAGCTCAATGCGGGGCTCAGACTCAGGACCCCAAGATCACAACCTTAGCTAAAACCAAGAGTTGGACCCTCATCTGACTGAGCCACCAGGTGTCCCTTTTCAGCCTGCTTTTTAAATGTGATTTGTAATATACATCCTTCTTTGTGAATGAATGTATATATAATTGTTTTTAATGGCCTTATAGCATTTTACTGGATGAATAAATTGAGATTATTTTTCAAAACAATCTCGTATTTTGGACATCAAGTCTTTTTGCAATTCTTGATGGTTCTCTTTTCCTGTGGTGTCTTTGTCTAGTTTTGGTATCAGGGTAATGTGTCCACATACAGTGAGTTTAGAAGAGTTCCTTCTGTTTATGGAAGAGTTTGAGAAGGATTGGTATTCATTCAAATGTTTGGTAGGATGGACCAGTGAAGCCATCTGGTCCTGGACTTCTCTTTGTTGGGAGGTTTTTGATGACTGATTCTATCTCCTTGCTAGTAATCATTCTGTTCAGATTTTCTGTTTCTTCATGACTCAGTCCTGTTAGGTTGTGTTTCTAGGAATCTGTCCGTTTCTTGCAGTCTTGTCCAGTTTGTTGACATCTAATTATTCTTAGTAGTCTCTTATGATCCTTTGTATTTCTGAGGTATCAGATGTGATATCTCCTTCTTGTTTCTAATTGTATTTATCTGAGTTCTCTCTTTCTCTCTCTCTCTTT